TCTTCAAGATCTCTGCAATTCAAGACTGCTACAAACTTTATAAACATTAGTCATACCCCAACGTTTCTGAGGAGCAAAATGGGACCAAGTTCAGCCCAGTGAGAACTGTCTGAGGAGCAGATTAGGGACAAAAGCACATTAAGGACAAAAAGTAGCAAGTTTGAGGAATACCAGCACCAGGCAAGAAAAACACCATGTGACTTAATAAAGCCCGGAGATGTGAAGATGACACAGCTCCTCAGAGTGACAAGCAGATGGGCAGATAACATAGCGGGGTGTGTCGTCAGAGTTTCAACTTGGTTTTACACTACATCCCACAGAAGCAGAGAACTCCTTACTAGCCTCCAAGAAAGGATAAATTCTATCCTTTAGTAGGAGATTGCCTATTTAGTACTATAGAATGCACAGTTCTGGCTACAGAGAGAAGGGGAAGCAGTGAAAGAAGCTTGGAATGGTTGCTGAACCATTTAATCCCAGAGGCAGGTGGACCTCAGTGAGTTCAAGGCCAGCCTGGTCTACAAAGGGAGTTCCAGGACGGCCAGGAATGTTACACAGAGAAACCCTGTCTCGGAACAAAACAAAAACAAAAACAAAAAAAAAGGGTTCCTGAGGGCTGTAAGGCAATTGAGAGTTGGCTTAGTGGTTAACAGCACCTGATGCTTTTGCAGAGGACCCTGGTTTAAAACCCAGCACTCACACGCTGGCTCACAGTTCCAAGGGATCTGACCCATCTTCTGTGGGCACCAGGCAAGCACATGGTACACATACATACACATGCAGACCAAACAGTTGTACACATAACATTTTAAAAAATTTTAAAAATTAGCTGGGTATGGAGGTAGCACACGCCTTTGATCCCAGCACTCAGGAGGCAAAGGCAGGTGGATCTCTAAGTTTGAGGCCAGCCTGGTCTACAAAGAGAGTTCTAAGACAGCTAGGGTTGTTACACAGAGAAACCCTGTCTTGGGAAAAAAAAAAGGGGGGGGGGCTTATTGAATAATTTGTTTTCCTAATTAGCATCACTATAAAGCTAAGCGCTAACAAGTGATGGAGGAGCTGAGAAGAAAAGTGCCACTTTAGTTGAAATGATCAAGAAAGCCTTGAAGAAGTACTTTTAAGATTTGATAGGTATATGCAGTAGCAGGGCATTCCAGGAAGGCACAGTCATCGAAACGGGTGTGAAGAAACATGGCAGCCAGAGCAGTGAATAGTCCATTTTTTCCACCAGGGAGTTTTAGAAAAACAAAATGAGGTCACCCTGAAGAGACAGAAGTTACCCTAGCATCCTATTTAGGGGAGTTCACACTGTCCACCGGCAGCAAGGGCCCATGAAATTAAGGATGCTTCCAAGGATTCTCTCTTACATGCAGGCAGTAGTCACCTGTTTACTTTTTCAGAAACCGTGTAATTTCTGTGAACACCGCTTGAGATTCTACTCTGCAAGTGAAGGTCCACAACAAAGTCCAATACTTCACAGGTAACACCAGCTTTTTAAGACTGATTTCTCAAGGACCTATCACAAAACAGGGACACAGAAACTACTTCTAAGATAAAGAAAGGCAGTGGCTGCAAGCCGGGAACCCTGACATGGCAATCTATTTAGCGCCATCCCATCTGAGTTCCCAGCAGTGGATTGCTGCTCTAAACACCCAGGAACAGCGGCTGCACCATCACCGTCTGCCCTGCACTATCAAAAGGCAAAGGTAGTAAACAAATCCCAACATTACTTTGGTTTGGAAAAGAACCACCCATTCCCATCTTCGTTTGATTTACCACGGCACAACAATTGCTGGGCTCTCTGGCCCGTCTGCTAAATACTCGAGGGAAATAATCTGATTAATGTAGCAGATCCCATGGCCTCTTAGTGTTCCGCTGACATCTGAAACTGTGTAAACTGAAATACGGCCAGCTTCTTCATCCACGAAGCACAAGAGACTGAGGGACAGCCACTTTTATTTTCTTAAAACCTAGTGCCAGACGACCCAAATTGTCAAACAAAACAGCATCTATCAACCCTAGGTTTCGAAGATGAAATCTGGTTCCTTCCCAACACTTCAGCATCTGTTTACATCCTGGCTGAGTATTACCTTAGACCTGTCGACTGTCCATCAACCTCCCCTCCAACCCTATCCAGGATAGGATCCCGTCGCGTTTGACCGGCGAATGGCGGTGGGGCCTTAGGGTTCCCGGCCACCCGGAGCCGGTGCTCCCGCAGGCTCAACTCCGGGGGTCGCCAGCAGGGCTGGAACGCGGCCGTCTCCCGCGCGGCTGCGAAGGCAGCACTCAGGGACTGCTGGGCTCTGACCGCTGCGGGCAGACCCCCGAACGGAGGCGGCGCGCGGTGGGAGGGGCCGGAAATGTTTACCGCGGACTT